TCCGTGTGAGGTGGCTGGCACACAGATTATATATGGATACAGAAACCTGGCAAACCACAAGCGAAAAAGGGATAGCGATTAAAAGAAATATGAACCTGAAGAAATGGGGAAAGAATATCTCTATTGTATGTTAGCTCGTCCAGAATTATCTCCACCAGAGGAGTTCTGCACCAACCCAAAAAGTGCATCTACCTCAACAAATAGAAGATGGTACATGAGAGAGAGAGAGAGAGAGATAACAACTTTAACTCTACCAAGAACGAGAAACATATACCTGACGCCATCAGCTCGGGTAGTAGAACCTTGCATCTCTGCACTCTTCTTGGACACATCAAGCTCCATTATCTGAACAGGACCAAATCAGTGCCAATGCAGTAACTGATTCTACAAATATTAAAACATCGATAAGGGGCTTACCATTATTAGAAACTTCTGCATGGCTATGCAGGTATGCTTTCCTACCTCAAGTAAAGAAATTGCAGCAGCAGTATCAAAATTTTCAGCTGGTTGTGCCGCAGAATTCTCTGAACATATCAGATCGTCGGTGAATCCAGTACAGTTTTGATAGAGTTTACACATAATGGTCAAGCAATCCTTCATCAAGCTTTTGTAGTTTACTTTTCTTGACACCTTCAAAAGATAACTTAATTTTGAGGGCAAGATTCGTGGTATAAAAATCACTTAATAACCAGATAATCAACAATGGAAAACGGGCTCTTCAGTATTCATGGCTTGAAAGAGAAAGGGATACCAGAAGCATGTTCAATAAAGACTCTCTCAGAACTACCCAGTTCATGGTATCTGCAAACAATAACGAGCAAATTGAAACTTCCAGAAAGTTAGAGGCATAAAATAACCAATAATTAGATATCAATTTACCTTCATAGACACTGTTACGTGGTCGAAAATCTCCTTCAAAAACGTTAACTAGGTATTGAAACAATAGCATGTTTGCTAAGGACTGCAACAAAAGAAGATCAAGTAAGACCAAAAAAGATGGGGAAATTCTGCTTATCCAATGAAGCAGGACAAGTTAAGTAATTCTATGGCATAAAACTACCAGAACAAAACACTCAGTCAACACTCATAACCACAAATTGAAAGAAAGCTTTTTTACAATACAACAATGAGATTAGCTAGCACGAATTGAATGGAACCTTTTCTATTCTCTTACTGCGAGTGAGCTAACCTTTGTTTCTGATGCTCGTAAGTTTCCTTCATCGGTTGCGTCAGCAAGGTCTTGTATCAAAAGTTGGAAACCCTGCAGTTGGCAAGAGAACACTTAAGCAAGGTGAAATTGCAACAGATAAGCTACTGAAAATCAAGTTCCAATTAGAGTTCCAAACAAAATATAAAATGAGCTGGAAATTTCATCATAATGAACCTAAGTAGCTCGTCACACTACAACAACGTCTCAAGCGGTGATCTACTACCCTTTGTCTATGCACCATGACTCTTTCCAAATAGAAATAGAAAAGGCAAATTAAACAAACTAATTACTGTTATACTAATGTTTAAGAACTCCAAAATAATGCAAACTGCAAGTCCACATCAAATCCAACTCACTGATGAGTCAACTGGTCCCTCTGAGTTATTTGCAGCTCCCCTCTCACTGCTAGCATTTTCGGAGCTGAAAACGAATGGAAACCAAACCTAACAAGCACAGAGAAATGATATCAGTTATGATACAATATGGGCCAGTTACAACAGAAATTTATATCAAATAGACAGAGGAAAAAAAAAACCTTAGTACCTCTTGAACCATGATTAGTTCGGGCACACTGCTTGATGAATTTGATATATCCACATCAGAAGAATTTACCCGAGGGAAACGCTACAAAATAAGGCAAACAGAATTAGTGAGAAAACTTTGCACCATCTGAATATAAATTGAAGTTTTAAAGGAGCGATTGGGTACCTTATCTAACTCATTCAAAAGCTGAAAACTTGCCATAGTCAATTCTAGAGACTTTCCAATCCTCAAGATGGAGAAGATTGCCTCATACATTTTACTGTGCAACAACATTGATATAAACAGATGGGTATTAGGGCAGACATACATTGTAAATATCAATTTACCGTATGCCTATATCAGAGAGAGAGAGAGAGAGAGAGAGATACTAGGTAGGTGGAGTTCCATTTTTTGCTACAATGGAAGCAGCACGAACAGCTTCGATAAAAGCGATTCCTGTTCATCAATTACCAAATAAATTATAAAAATGTTGGAAGAAAAGATACAGATGAAACGGTGCAATTCTACTGTGAGACATAACTGAGTTGAAATTTTCGTTTTCCGAGCACCAAAACAACTAAGAAGTGAACTAATTTTAGCTCGCTCACTTCCTTTTCTAGCAAATTTTCTTGGCAGACAAACAGAAAATTAGCAACAAATGCCAATAACAGAGCTAGACTTACTATCCTCGAAGGCGTCCAGAGTGTCTTTAGCTTCAGAAGAGTCGAGGATTGCCAATATGTTCTCTTCGATCCCTCCTCCCAGGGTTCTCATACTGCCAGGCTTCTCCATCTCTCCCTCTGCCAAAATTTCGAAACCCTAATCCGTCTTTAGGACTGAGGAGAGACAATAGAAGACGTAAAAATAATTAAAATAAAAATGTATTTCTGTTCCCGCCAAAATCGAACGCAGACGGGACTGACGCCGTTTGTACTTGGGAAATGGTTTTGAAGGTTTAAAGTTCAAACTTAAAAATTAAAAAGTTCCGCCGCCGGAATTGAACCCGGGTCTTTCGAGTGAGAGCCGACTAGACTAAATCTTGGTAAATTTTAGGAATGTACAGGATCCAAACTAATTTGCCAAAATTGACCAATCCAATTCAATTTTATTGATTTTGATTGGATCGGTTTGGTTAGCGGATTCAAAGTTTGAAATCCAATTCAAATTGAAAAGATCTAATTTTTGAAAAATATATGCAAATATTTGCATTTCCTTGTGTTCAAACCTAAACCATCTTTTACATTCCATTTACATCAACGCACCAACACAACTTTGTTGATATTCTATAGAAAAATTATATTAAGATAATATAAAAATTCTAGATTTCTAAGTTTTTGTTTTGACTTTAACTTTTTCTTTTTCTTTTTTTTCTAAGGAATTGATGTAACTTGAACTTTAAATGTCAAACTTGGTGTTGTAGTGTTGTTTTCTAAAATTTATTTATGTCTATTTAGTACATACTTAATGGTATTTTCTATTGGATTGAATTTTATACGATTATTTTTGCGATTATCACATTTTCGTGCAAACCGATCATCCAAACCACTCCAATTCAATGTACAAAGCATAGCACACTCTTATATAATTGGAGTACATAGCAGCTTAATAGAATAACAACACAGATTAGCTGTCTAACTAATACGCGTGCTAAGCACCTGACTTGTAACTAATCTCTTAACTAACTTGCTGACTTAATAATTACAGTTAAGAAATTCATTTTTTCACTGGGGTAGACCCCTTTTGCTTCATGAAAACTAATTAAAATGATTAAAAAAAAACCTGCATCATATGAGCGAATAATAGTTATGTATTGAAA